GGGCGTCGCTGAACTTTTTATGTAGGCTTTTCACCCTTTCTATCCTTCTAGCGTGGTGATGCTCAGGATGCATATTTCTAGGTAATGGAGGCACCAGGATACGCCCCCTTGCCTCCTGCGGAATGCCCTTTTTTACCCCATGTTGCACATTGTACGTAACGCCAAATGTGTCCAAAATATGCCTGCCCGTAGGGCTCTGGGTTAACCGATCATACTGTGCTATCATGTGGGCCTCTATTAGCTCTTCGAGCGTGTTATGTAGCCCTAGAGCTTGTCATTCGACGTATTTAATGGTAGACCTAATGCTTCTTTATATGCTTTCCTAATTATGCAATCTATTTTGCTCTGTTCGGCTGCGTGTAGTTGAAGATATGGGGCAACGTACACGATGCAGCCGACTACAAAAGCCTGGACTAAACGAACTAAGTTGTGTTCCTTCATACCATAGTTTTGTTGGCTATTCGTTTGATCAGCCTGCTTGTTTGGTAGACGCTGTTCTCCAATAGCCTAACAGTTTCTCCGTTGTGCCCATTTTCAGATATACAGAGGCCGAGAACTCGTAGGTTCGCTACGATGGGTATTTTACTTCCCCCTGCAAAAATCGTGATGTCTGGCTTTTCCTGTATGCTTTTGCGTCCCCTACATGTGGGCCTATAAATGAGCAATTCCGACTTTTCGGGAGAACATTTTAGCCCCTTACCTTCTACATATCTCTCTACAGTGTCAACAGCTTGTTGTAATATGTTTTCAATGTCGCCGTCACTCCCACCCGTCACCCAGAGGGTGATGTCGTCTGCGTATGTTATGTCTGAGGCCCTCAATCTGGTCAAGTTTTGTGGGTAGGCCAATCATCGCCACATTAAATAACAGGGGAGACAGCACCGAACCCTGTGGCGTCCCCCTAATGCCCAATTCAATCTCTTCAGACTTTGTCTCTCCGACCGCCATTCTTGTAGTGCGTTTGATAGGAAGTCTCTCACATATGCGTAGGTGCACTGTCCTATCCCCAGTCCCTTAAGATTCTCTAATATGGCTCTGTGTGTGATGGTATCGAACGCCTTAGTGAGATCAAAGCCGAGGATCCTAAAGCTCATATGGTGCCCGCAACTAAAGCAATGCCTGTGAACGTTATTCAAAACCTCCCTAATTAGATAGGTTAAGATGGCTTGACGAATAATGATGCACTGGTTAAGACATGAGTAATGTCCTAATCCCGTCGCAAATGTCGTCGAGCACTTCCTGCCAAAAAGTCGGGCATACCCGCAGGTGAGTGTGTGCCACTGGTATGTGCCATAGGTGATTGACCCTTTGAGAGAGAGTAATAATTATTTTAATTGGAAGCTGGAGAGGTCTGCCTGGTTTCTCACCTGACAGGCTACTCTTTATCTACGTGGGAACTACGAGAACACACATGAACAATTTTAACATGCGAGCACTAAAAAAAAAACCTGACATCAGCAGCGTTCACTCGACGAATGCAAAGAATAAATGTTGGGGTCTCAGCAGTAATCGAACTCCAGCATTCTGCATGGCAATCAAGCATTCTACCACAGAGCCACGCAAGGTCTCGAAACTAATATTCAAGTAGACCCCAATGTTCGTGAAATGCCAATTGTGTTTGCAGTGCTGGCTATCCAATTTTATAAACAACACATATGTACTCTTGAAGGCAGCGCTCGTAAGTCGGCATGGGTCAGACATGATCATGCATGCCTGACTATTAGATAACACATGCAACTAGAGTTTCCAAATTCAGTGTGATGGATTCTTTAAGTTTCATGTGCAAATGTAGAGGAACTAAAAAAAGTAAACCAATAATCAGAAGGCAGCAAGGTTAACCAGGAAAGTGTGCTGTGGTATGGAAGGAATACAAAGGAACACTACAAAACATCACCCAAGGACAAGCATTTATTGGAGGCTGTATAACTGTCGGATCGATCAAAGACAGAGAAGATCTCGCATATAAAAAACTTTCTGCATTTTATAAACAATGCCCCAGATGAAAAACAGCATGCCAAGAAAAATGAGTTGAGAAAGACATGGTGTACGATATTAAAAAATTCGCATGCATAAAGTGTAGTAATCAGCTTGCGCAGGAAAGAGCAAATAGGAATCACTGGCAGAGGCCTATGTACAGCAGTAGACATAAAAAAGGCTGATGTACAAAGAGGGAGTGTGGTAAAGAGCTGTTGCTTATAGCAGGTTGTCAAGGCAACACCAAAAGGCAAGGAAACCCACATCACAATGCTGCCTACAGCAGTATTAACACTGACTGCTCAACAGCTTTCCAATTGTATAATAAAGGTTGTGTCTGCTGGTAGAGTGGTGCGAAAAACAAAGGTTCAATAATAACTTGGACAAGAAACGCGTCTATTGTCTGGCAAAACATTCGTTCGGTACACACAAGGAACGAGCTCACCCCTGTGCCAACACTTCGTTATCTTCTCTTTCATGAATATTCAACCCCAGCAAACATAGAAATTTATTTGGAAAATCTGGCAGAGCTGTGTGTGCTATGAGGACAAAGCAGGGAAAGTTACATAAACCTATATAGCAGTGTACATCATCACAACATAAACTTTATTAGTTTTTTTCACAACACTGCCTATTATGTATGTCAGTGAATTTGTGAAAAGTGAAATGTATGTAAGGAAAGCAATTAATTACAAGCATTATACACTGCAAATGCACACAAAAGAACAAACACATAGCTAAAACATTTAAAGAGAGCAGGAAAAATATATTAACAAATAGTGAATATACTGACGATAATACACTTTCCAAATACACTAGACAAAATAAAATAACATATGGCATATTTTCAATTAATTAGAACACAACATATGTTGTGCTGTTATGTGCTTTAAGTAGCTGTAGGGTAGCAAGCTAGTAATCCTGTGTAAAAGGAGGAGTAACAGCGTTCAGTTGAAGTTGCTGGCCAATGTCGTGGGACTCAATAGGCACAATAACGTTGTCAACAACAGGAAGAACATAGCCCAGTGTTTCGTGAGCTCTTAAGGTGAGAGGCATGAGCCAGGATTGCAAACAATTCTGGAAGTATCTTGGTGAGGTGGCAGAACGGCGTATGGCAGAGACGTACCGTGGCGGCAACTGAAAACGTCAGATGGGGAGAACACAACGGTAGAGCCGGACAATTCAGTGCGATTGACGGGGACGATGGCATTAAGAGGGGGAACATCTATGTAGGAAGCAACAAGAAGCTTGCCAAGGTGAGTGAGCTCATTGTCGGTAGATGGCGCATCAGAAAACACAAAATTCTACCTACGCACGAGCACAGTCAATTACCGCATGGTGGCGTGACGAAAAATCCCATCCAAGTATCACATCATGGGAACAAGTAGCCAACACGAGAAACTCGATGTGGTACAGGACGTCCTGAATGATTACTCTCGCCGTACATGCTCCGACTGGTCGGATAGGTTGCACGCTCGTGGTATTCAGCAATACGTCGGAAGGCGGCGGCGTTACTTTTCGTATCGAGCGGCAGAGTTTTTTACTCATCACAGATACGGCGGCACTCAGGTCAACAAGCGCAAGATTTCGTAGACCTTCAACAAACAGTTCCAGAACGTTTGTGGGGAAAGGGCGACGACTTCTCCAATGCAACGATTTCGCAGCTCGTGCTTCCGGAGCTGCGGCAGTCAGTTTTCCGTCTCTACAGGGTTCGGTCGGCGACGAAGCGGGGACGGAGAACGGTAGCGGCGTGGTGAGAATGAGCGACAGAGACCGAATGGTCGGTAGTCGGCTGCAGGATGGTGGTCTAGGTCAGATGGGGACTGGTCGCGTTGCGCTGATTGTCGGTCGCATTGACGGGGCACTTCTCGTTGCGCGTTGTACGGGGCCGTGAAAGAGTCGTCAAAGTACCTCGGAGCTGCAGCCGGGCCCGTTGCGAAGCGCTGGCGACAGAAGCGCGCCACGTGACCTGCATATCCGCATGCGTAACAGATCGGACGATTGTCAACTGTGCCCCTAGGGTTTCCGTTATAGCGCTGTTGTGTTGCTGGAAATGGCGTCGTTGGTACTCGTACAGGCTGGGGAGTCGGCCGAAGTGGAGGTCGTGATGGAGTAGCAGCAACAGCAGCGTAAGTCAACGGCGCGGTAACAGGTGTTGTCTGAGAGACGGACGGCAGTGCCTCAGAGACCTGTGCCTGTATTACCTGTCTGATGGCGGGCACGAGACGCTCAGAAGAGGGTTCCGTTGCCGGTTGATACGACAGACACGAAAGTTGTCGGGCCACCTCCTCGCGCATATATCGTTTTGATTTCCGACATGATTGCGTTGTGGTCTCCACGTAGGGTCAATGCTCCGAGAGTTTCGTCGGTAGCCGCTGGCCGCCGTGTCATGACCCGTTGTTTGCGCAATTCCTCGAAGCTCTGGCAAAGAGTGGCGAGTTTGTACACGGTATGGGGGCCCTTGGCCAGCAGCATCTGGAAGGCGTCGTCGTCTATTCCCTTCAAGATGAGTTTGATCTTGTCTGCTTCGATCATGGAAGGGTCAAGGCGCTTGCACAAGTCGAGCACATCCTCGATGTAGCTTGCGAAGCCTTCCCCCTGAAGCTGTGCGCATCCCCGTAGGCGCTGTTCAGCACGGAGCTTGCGTACCTCGGGGCGACTGAATACATCGGTAATGCGTAGGTTAAAAGCACCCCAAGTGGTGGTTGTTGAACCAGAGACTTGCTACCTCTTTCAGGTAGAAGGGCACATATTGCAGCTTCGATGTGTCGTCCCACTTGTTGCTTGCGCCTACCTTTTCAAATGTCGACAGCCAATCTTCTACGTCTTGCTCATCGGTACCGTCAAAAAATTGTGGATCGCGCACACGTAGCGCAGTGGGCACAATGACCATCGGAGGCTGGGTCATACCTCGCTGGGGGTTTTCTTCAGCCATTTCTGGGATGGCAGGTATTTTCCTGTTGCGGAGTTCCAGGTTGAGTTACCCAGCACCTTCACCACTCTGAAACGGGGTTTATTGGCGCACGTAGTACTTGCACAGCAGGTCTATTAATGCGGAAAGTGGGCAGCAGCAATGGACTTGGGAATCACAGCACTCAGGGCAAACGCTCGCGCTTGGCTCCTCTCACTAAAGGCGTGACCCACTGCGGCACATAATCTTCTTCCTCTCTACATTAGTATTATGGCCTCTCCTTATGAGGCCCAACCAAAAAAATAGCACCCACTCCTTCCTTTCAAGAAATTTTTGCACTCGTGACACATACCCGCGCTGAGGCTACTGCAGCAATTCTTCAGTGGCAGCCTCTAAATCTTCTACTGATGACACATACATCACCTGCAAATGACCAGAGATATCGTTTGTGTGTTTTTAGCCATATTTAAGTTGTTCACGTTGAATAAATGGATAAATAGAATAAATAGATACTGCAGTGTATCATCAAGTCAACGTGTTACGCTGCATCCGAATCTGTCGGCTGTCGTAACATACTTCACCAATGTCCATTACCGTTGCAACCATTGTCACTCTGCCATAGCCTCACAGTGAAAATAGAAGAGGCGTGCTTCTTGTCCTAATTCTACCTGTATATGCACGCCCTGCAGGGTTGGTCTAGTGGCCAAGATACTAGGCAGCTAACGCGTAGGTCGGGGGAGCGAATCCCCGCTGCGGTGGCTGCATTTTCGATAGAGGTGAAAATTCTGTAAGCCCGGGTACTCAGATTTGGGTGCACGTTAAAGAACCCCAGGTGCTCGAAATTTCTGAAATCGTCCCATGCGGGATCTCTCTTAAAAGAGTGATGACACCAAATTTCGAGGCTATTCCAAGCCTGTTGTGGGTTTCCTCTGTATGCAAGGACTCTCCTCACGAAGAGTCGGACAGAACAAACGCGTAGAATATAATTTAATTCACTTCTAAAACTGTAGCTAAATCCTCACTCTCGCGATCTCGGCAAATCGCTTGCGCATTAACACTGACGTTTCAGATTAGGAGAAGTAACGGCAGTTGTCGTGACGTCACACCAGATTGCTTCCTCGTCCACGCTCTTTACATATGTTGTAAATGTAAACGCCTTGTTTCTTTCTTCATGCCTTTTCCCTTCCACTGTCTCGATGCTACTGCAGCTGGCTATGGTGACTGTCAGCGTGTTTGTTTTGCTGGCGCTTGGTGTGGCACGTGTGTATGAGAGGAGACGAAATTCAACACTATGTGTGTGACAGCCTTGTGTGCTCACGTAACCAAGCCACCTATGCATCGACGTCATCGCCCGATTTGGCACCGCGAAACCAAAACCGAAAATGGTCCACATAAGTAAAGCAGTATTAAATTATTAGGCGAAAATACACGAATCTTGGTGTGTGTATCATGCTTTACCTAAAGGAAACACTTACAGCAAAGAACACGCACCCCACAAATTTGGTGGCATCACCCCTTTAATCATATGATGGTTTTGGGACGTAAACCCCACATATCAATCAATACTTGAATATGCACTTTGGCAGCGGAGAAACTAAGATTCAGAATTCTGCACAAAGCAAGATGAGGCGAGTATATGCTGCAAGCCCCCACCTTCATGCGACTTTTTCAACCAGTTTAAAATGATCATTTGTTCTTGATTTGTGAACACCATGTCTGATCCTATCACTGTAAACCATGGTCATTCAATTGACCTCTCCCTGTTTGTAAACAGTGTGATGTCACTGCGGGTCCCCCGACACCATACCCTCTCTCGGAGCAAGTGCTGGTTGGCAAGAAAGTTCTGCCGGTGGCATCTTTCTGCATAGCAGAGCTGTGTCTGAATTCCTTCGACAGAAATTTTTACATTACTATGTCAAAAAGTCACAGCTTTTGAAAGAAAGGGGTCGCGGAAGAGTCACTGTTCATAGTGTGGAAATTTGGTCGTCGTAGATGGATGGATGGAGAAACTATAGTACTGAAAGACAAGACTGGCATGCAGTGGGCTTCACCAACGAAGAGGGCAGCCTTAAAAAATCTGATCTTTTCCGAAAGTGAATGTTTTGAATGTACACGGTGACTACCACATTGAGAAATTTTTTACATGGCATGGATGTAAACTTATTCAATTTCCATCGAGGCATGTGCAATGCAGTTTTAAACGAGGTACAGCATTGACGGCAGCGTGGTTTTGAGCTGCAGTGCTTGTTGCGGATAAGATTCTCACTCATTGCACAAACGTGTGATCGGAGATGAATAAAAAAGAAAAGAAGCACTTCTTGCCGTGCGTTAGACTGAGGTTAACATATGCTCGTAAAACTTAAAGTGAAATTCTGCCGCTGCGTTTCGCAATAACTCAGTGAAAATTCATGTGATGTGAAACCCGACAGCTATATATATAGTATTATCTAACGCAGTTACCATGCTGCGTTTGACACCTATAACCTGTTTTCAACCTATATTACTCCTTTAGGCCTGATACACTAACTTTTAATGCGTGATTGTGACTTAGCAAGTATAGAGCCGCAAAAGTACAAAGTAGATAAGAAACGAAAATCTCCACTGTGTCCATTAACACGTATGAGGTATTCGATAATACGAGGTATACCGTGTGAAGCATATATGCAGATTCGGCAACGCTACAACATGCTCATAGCTCATGAGTAGTCATATATATCACCCGGCGATCATGCACTTTTATTTTTCTGCGCACTGCGCATACGCTGAGATGTACCCACTCTCAGATGATCACGTCAAATAGATTTTTACCTTGACTAAATTGTCAAATCGTAAATTCTATCGACAACCGGTTACTGCAACCGGCCCACAATGAATATCAGTGCTTTCGCAAGCAGCTAGGACGCATTGCGTTATTCACACTGCGCACACCATGCACAATATTCTCAGTTTCACAGTCCTTAAAGGTGAAGCAATATTGTCAATGCCTTTCAACGCACACTTCATGCCACAGTCAACACTGCCCATTTTCGAAGACGATGCCACTGTTCCTCGCACAGGCCGCCTCGTGTGTTCACTTCTCCGAGATAAACAGCCAGCCAGCGTGACAAATATTTCATTACGCACTTCACCACACAGGTCTCTTTCGAGCGTCCAGTGCGAACGGACGTGTTTTTCTGAGCTTTTGCGTCGGCGAGAAACGCTGCGGCGTCTCTGTCGTTTTCAAATGATTGCTGTCAGAGTATTGCTTCAATCCTCCGGAATTGTACACCCTTCAACAGATGTCATAGAGGATTCTACCGAGCCCATTTTTGACCTGGTAGGCCCATTTTTCACCGTTTTTACAGAATTTTTGCCACCAGGCATCCGCCCGTGCCGACGAAACGGCATCATGCCGGATGTATTGGTGGTGGAAGGGGAAGTTATTTCCCAAGAAAACGCTAACGCGCCTGGGTGGCAGACTGCTTTAGGCAAGAATAAGCGTTCTCCCCGACAACAAGCGTCTGCTTCTTCTCAAAGTAGAGGAACGGCTGGCCATCGCACGGCCACGGCGCATGGCGTCTTGCAGCCGCATCGAGGCTTCCCCGATTGCCGAAGAGCCATATTTGAGTCTTAGTCCGACCGAAAGGAGGCCTGGATCTCAAGAAGGTTAGCCTGATTCGTCTAGCCTAAACCCTGGAGACGGCAGCAAAACTATCCCCGGAAGAAACACTGGAGGATATTATTGTCTGCCCGAACATTACTCAGAATATCGTTGTGGTCTCTACGCCAGCGTCCCGCAACGCGGGCGTCTACGCGGCGCTGCAACTCATCCGCCTTGGCTCAACTGAGTATCATGTTTTGGCCTACAGGCTACTTCTGACGAAACCTAAAAGGTGTCATCCGAGGCGTCGACGTGGACATCGATGAGCGACAGTTGGCGGCGATGATCGTCAACCAGCGCAACCCTAAAGCCATGGAGGTGCATCGCATCAAGGAAACGACTACCGTCATCATTCTTTTCAGTGGTCTCAAGGTACCCAACTATGTTATGTGTGGTTCGAGCATGCTACGGTGTACTTTGTACAGGAGACAGACTGACGTTTGTTATGGATGTGGAGCTCTCGGCCATCGTGCCGATGTTTGCCCGACACCGATAAAGAAAGTGTGTCGCGGGTGTGCTGTCAACGATCCCACGAACGATCACCAATGCCAGCCGACATGTGCCTTGTGTGGTGGGGCACATCTAATGGCCGACAACTCCTGCCAGTACCGATTCCAAGTCCCCTACTTTGTAAGGTGACGAAGACGGCGTAGAAAGGCCGCCAAGAAACGCAGGCAGCACCAAGAGGGTCTGACGTCAGGGGATTCGAGCGTGGCACGAACCATGAGGATGCGCTGTCTCTCGCCAGCTGTAAAGAAGAGTCGCAGCAGCTCAAGAGGTCGCTCTCACTCCAAGAGGCGCTCCCACTCCAAGGGACGCTCCCACTCCAAGGGACGCTCCCACTCCAAGGGACGCTCCCACTCCAAGGGACGCTCTCACTCTAGGCTACGCTTCCAAGAAGCTCCCAAGACCTGGGCGGATCGTGCCAAGCCAAGCCCGGCGCAGCAGCCAGCACAGGTAACGCATGCGGCACTGCCAGAGCAAAAAGAAGACCCTAGGATTGCATTCTTACTTCAAGAAAATGCTAGCTTAAAAGCGCAGCTTCAGCAGATGAGGGTCGAGTTTGAAGCCCTTAAAAATACAGCACAGGCCCCGGTGCGGTCTTCGTCAGTAGAGCCACGGCCGGCTAAAAGAAAGATAGGAGCGGAAGGGGAGGTAGCGACGGCTTCCGACTTGGACGTCTCGGTGGTCGCAAAGGTGGCTACCCTTGCCGGCAAGTCACCGCTCGTAGCTATCGGTGACTTTAACGCACCTCACCCAGCCTGGGGTTATCCAAAGGCCAATGTTAAAGGGAAAAACCTTGTTGAAGCTATGACGAACTGTTCCTTGGAGCTGGTCACGAACCCTCAGTTCCCAACCCGCTTGGTCAATTCCGTTTCAAGAGACCCACTCTGGATCTGGCATTCATCAGAAATGCGGGGAAAGTTCAGTGGGTTAACTTGCAGGAAAGCTTGGGAAGTGATTACTTCATCCTCGCAGTCATGCAGGAAACCCGGGCAGCTCCACCTAAGGAGTACAAGGTGACGGACTGTGACGAGTTCAGGAAGTGCCGGAAAGCTGATGAGAGCGAATATGCCACGTTAGAGGAACTCTTTTCTCGGCTCACGGAGGATGAGCTCCTCGCCACCAAGACTGTTCAAACCGACTTACAGGTAGATACGATAGACTCGTGTCTTGCGCATTTATTGGAGGCAGAAAAAAAATTGCTGGTTGAAAGATGGCGCACACAAAAGCTAAATAGGAGGCTCCGCAAACGCATAGCTCTCCTCAATAAAGATATTGA